TGGGAGTTGTTGTTGGAACATATAGTTTGATGACTCTTTTGACTTCAAGTAAAAATATGTTGTAATGGTCTTCAACGGTATTGCATCCAGTGAATAGAGATTGCCAATCAAGGGATGAGAGATCGTTGTCTATAAGATCATAGTTGCCTTTTTTGAAGTTACAATTGGGGATTACATCATTGTGGTGATTTTTGTGTGGACGTATGTTGAGACAAAAGTCAATCATATTGTGGTCACTACTGGAAAAGGGTTCTTTAGTTTGTATTCCGTAAATTAAATTCAAACTGTTGCAGAAGATGAGATCAAGGCAGTTGTTTAGTCTAGTGTTGTTGGTTACTAGTTGTTCCAGTCCCAGATTTGTAATAGCATTGTAGAAGGTTGTGTGTATGATTTCAGTTGTACAATCATTTAGGGTCCAGTCAATATGAGGTAGATTGAAATCACCAAGAAGGATAAAAGGGTATGGGCAGGATGCAGCCCATGTTAGTAATGTATTTAGTATGTTTACATGTTCGATGTCATAATCAGGTGCTTATTAACATAGTAAGAATCGAATTGTGATATTTAAGGATAGTTCACAGATGATGGTTTCAGGAAGGGCAAGCTCCTGGGTAACTTGGATATTTTTTAGATGTAAGGATTTTTTATAGAATATAGCAACACCACCTCCTCGTCGATTTTCACGATCTGATCGGTAAACATGATAGTCTCTTACTGTGGTAATGGAGTCGGGGAGAGATGCATTGAGCCATGTTTCACAGACAAATATAATGTCGAAGTTAGCCATATTTAGGAGGAAGAGAAATTCAGGTATTTTATTCACGAGGCTTCTTGCATTGAGTAGTTTGCATTTAAGGCCGGCAGTAGTTGGAATTGAGGTAGTTGGGGGGGGGCGTGCCTAGTCTTGGGTGATGGTGGATGGGTTGAGGTAGGGTTGTGGTTGAGGGTAAAAGCTGAGTATTGGGTTGCGTGGCTTACTTTTGATAGTCAGCATGGTAGTCAATGTACAGGTCCTTCTCTCCATTGTCTAGACGGTTTTTGAGTTCGATGCGGAGTACACGGGAGCGGGCACGTTGCTGTATGGTTAGGTCAGGGTGGCAACGGAGGTTCTTATGGTTGGTGTTGGTTTTGGCGAGTGAGTTTATAGTATAAATGAATTTACGTTTGCTTGATTCATTTTTGCAAATGACCCTGCACAAGCGTGGGGCCACAGAGCCGTCTCTATTTTTGAGCTCTCGGTCGATGCGGGAAATGTCAAGTATTTCATCAGCGGAGATGGTTGATGCTTGATAATCTCTGATGATGTTTCGGACAGTTGTGATGTCATCATTGACATTGATGTCTTCTAGACCAAATAAGATGGCGTTTGGATGTTTCCGTTCACGCTCAACGGCTTCTCTGATGAGGATTGGGATATCAATATTTGTCTGGGTTGTGTTTATTTGTGGATTGGGTTTTGGATTGGATTGTGGTTGTTGGGTAGAGATGTGGTTTGTAGCAGAAATAAATGCTATGATGCCTCCATCAATGCTTCATGACAAATCAGAATACGATATTCTGCTTCATCAGTATCTTCCATTTGCTGAGGTAGCAGAATGGAATAGTATTTGCCCTTTTAAAAAAAAATCTGCATATTTCTGCATCTCTTTGCTCCTGAATATTACCTCAGCCTTACACAGATCCTGCAGATAAATAAAGGGAGGCTGGGTGAACAAATAATGGCTACATTTTGTCCTTGTTTCATTTGATTCATCAGAAAACCATCCAATAGGTGATGTACCAGTCTGTAAAATCAATCCCCTCTCAATCAATTCAATTACAGGAGTAAGTAGAAACTGTATTAAAGATGGCTGATTTGAGTCAGCCCTGCTGTATATAAATCCAACAAACCTTGATACTCCTCATCAGAGTGTTCTCACTACCCATATTCCTCACTCAAAATAAATTTCCAGAGACCTCTGTTAAATAGTCATTGATGTCTTTCAGTCTGGAAGGGGTTATAAAACATTTTCTAAACTTCTGCAGCTTCACCCATCCACACAGACAGCCATAGATCTGCAGTCCTCTTTTGCCTTGGCTATATCGACATTAAAGCATTGGATAAAAATGGAAATCCAAAGAAAATGGCAAGGCAAAAATCATGGATCGCTATCAAGAAAACTGATGTTCATCTCAAGCAATTGGGAAAGCAACTGGATGGTCCATCAGAATTTGGGGAAATATTCTATACATAGACAATATATTGGGGCTATATCGTGTCATTATATCCAGGGAAAACCAAGCAAGAGATTCCACAATAGAAAATCCACTGTCAGGGATAATATTATCCCTTGGAGATAATTTGCTGTTTTAGGATCTGAACAACTTTATCTCCTTAAAGGAAACACCAAGAAGAAATTCAGAAGTTTGGAATAGCCAAGTCAGAACCCAGAACCAAACCCTACAAAAATAGTGTGTCAGTTCCCGAACAGTTATTATTATTTTTGGTCAGCCACAGTCAGCCAGATGTTTTGACTGGATTGGGTCCAAAGATCCCGGATAGGCTGATGTTGTTTAATAATATTAAAGTTATCATCTCAGAATGTAAGCTATTTCAAGTAAAACTGTCTTTTGCAATTTACTGGTGGTGATTTTGTCAGCGCCGATGCTCTTCAAGCGGTGCTTGAGATGTTTTGGAATTGCATCCAAGGCGCCTATTAATACTGGTTGGTAATAGCAATAGTAATACTTCGCTTTCTTTTGCCACAGTTCTTCCACTTGTATTTGCAGGTCTTTATATTTTGTGATTGTCTCCAGTTCTTTTCCTTGTGTTCTTCTGTCTCCAGATATTAACGATGTCTTCGCAAGACTGTTTTGTCTTTATTGACAATTGTTAAGTCTGATGTGTTATGTGGCAGGTGCCTGTCTTTTTGAATTCTAAAGCACCCATTGTGGCTTCTTCATTTTCTATTACTTTGTCTGTTTCACGGTCCCACGCGGTTCTTGTTTGCAGGTATTTCTTGCAGATATTCCAGTGCCCCATTGTTGCTACTTTGTTGTTTGTGATCAAGCTGTATGATTTTGCAGCAGCTAACTGGGTGCTCCACTTACTACTATTATTATTTGCTGCTTTTGTTAGATGTCTATCTTCTCTATCTGTATATATATCTATCATCTATTGTTGTGGTTCGCTGGCAGCAGGTGCAGACGGCAGAGGTCTCTGACAGAGAGGATGAAAGGGAACTTCAGGGAGCCTGGCGAGGACTTGGACAAGGGTCCTGCATCTGATGCAGGGATGAGGCCAGGACTATCGGAGAGTGGGGTGCTGCCTTTGGAGCTTTTGGAGTCTGGCAGCAGTGAAGCAGAGGACCCCGGGGAGCCTGTGCCCAGTGCACGTGTGCGCAGGGCTGCTCAAAGGAGAGAGCAGCTGAAGCAGCAAGGGCGACTTGGGAGTAAGGCTGGAAGGTGATTGCCTCTCCCATAAGGGATAAAAACCAGCCCTCGGGGATGTGCTCTTTGCAGGAAGCAAAGAAGTTCTTTAGACTCTGAGTCCTCGTTGAAGCCCTGCAAACTCGTTTGTTTTTGAAAGTTCTGTTGGTTAATATTTATCAGTAATTAGACTTCTGTTCTTGGCAGCCTTTTGCAACCTTCAAAGGGCTTGCTTTTAACTCAGACAATTCAATTTAAATGACTCTTGGCTGGGAATGCAAAAAAAAGGTTTGCTTTATACACAGTTTGTGTTTGTTTAATTTGAACAAGGCTTGGGTCAGAACATCTATCTCATCGACTGAAGGCTACATAAGTACTTTATCTAATGTTCCCACCTTCTGTTTTTCCCATAGCAACAACACTGTGAGGTGGGTTGGGCTAAGAGAATATGAACAGCTGAATTCACTGCCACAGCCTCCTAGTTTGTAGACCAGCACCACCATTATACCAAACTGGTTCAAATTTATTTACTCTGGAAAATCTTACTTGAAGCAGATCTCCATGGAATAGTGGACCAAATTCTTATATAGAATATAAGAAACTGCACACCAGTTTCAAGAAGTGTCTGCTGTCTTTTGAGAAGATGGAATTCTCTGAGTCTTTTTCTTTGGAGGTTGTTACCTGGAATGCTGACATCTGCTATTACAAATGGAAATGTCTATGCTGCCTTTGTATAGCAGTAGGAATCACGTAAAACTCTGATAATATTTTGCAACAAAGATAGATAAAAATTCCAAAAACTCCAAAGGAACACATATTATTAAATTAAAGGTCTACTACAAGCGGTTGCTCATGGATCCTATAGTACAGATAGCTAAAAATTCTCCATAGAAAATGCATACATTGGTGACAAATTTCAGCCAAAAACCAGTTGGTTCACATTCAGTTTTACCCAATTAATGATATGTTTTGTTCTTGAAGTAGGAGAGTCTGCTGTAATCCATCAGTTGATTGGCTGTGTAGATTCAGACTCTGATATAGGTCAGATAGAAAACACCATTTTTAAAGCATTCAGAGAAAATCAGATAATGCAGGATCAGATGTCCAAATTCATAAGAAGAACTTTGTGTCACTCAGTGCCTTCTACTATAGCGGATTTACATTCCATTGCCTATGCATTAAAATCATTAAAATGGTATATGCACTATACTGTATTTGTATTTCAATTTTAATTCTACAATATTAGCAAAACACAGAGGCAACCAAAAGGGTTTCAGCCTCAGTCCCATCCTTTTGGTTTTGCTCCATCTGTCATCCCTTGTCCTGACTATTTTTGGGTTTGGTTTGGTTATCTTTTTTTCTCAGGCTTTTCATCTTTGGTTTATTATTTCTTGTTTCTTCTCTAGATTCTGAAGCCCTTTAGGGGTAATCAACATTATCGCCTGTGTGAATGGAATAAAAAACCCAAATGTAACTTCAGTATAAGCTCCCTACATACTGTTTTGAAAAGGACTTCTCAAAATAAACACTGTTCTAAAGTTTTAATATTGTTGTCTTGTAAAACAATTAAAAAAAATCTCTTCTAATTTCAGACTATGTACTTCTGAACAAAACACTCTGCTGGAGATTATCATTTAATCTGTGGTTGAATCCATATGGCGGATCTGTGAAGAAATTTGGCCTGATCCTGCTATCGGTATGGTAAGTGGTATTACACAACAATATAAACTAATGTATTGACCAAAACTGTGATTAAAATTCTGTGCATTATCAGATCGGTAATCCCATGAATGAGTACTTTGGCTGTGAGGGGACATACTGTTAAGTAGCCATCTGTAGGATTGCAATTATGTGAATGCATTCTGAACCAAGGATTTTTTTTAGCTGTAAAACAGATGCTTGCAGTGTGTGTGTGTGTGTGTGTTTAAAAGAAGATAAAAACAAATACAAAATAAAAGAGTGAGAGGAGTGAAGAGAAAAAGAAGACAAAAATGCAAAAGAAAAGATAAGAAGAAATAGAAAGAAGAAGCTTCTAAGTTTCATTGCAGGAAATACAAGTACAATTAAAATTATTTCTTACTTTGTGGTTACAAAAATCTCATTTTTTATTAACTAGATTTTTTTTCTAATTATCGAAACCATGAATCATGAGTTCATTTTTTTTTGTTTCAAGCAAAAAGTCTATAAGGAATTTCCAGACAGTTCTCAGTTGTAGGTATTGCCTTTTCTGTAATCGAAAAAGTCAGTCTAACCATCTCTTGAGTTCCATCATCTTCAGTTTTAAATCAGATAGACCCAATCCTCTTTTTAACTCTCCATCTTGTAATACCTTATGTTTAATTTGTGGTTTTTTTGTCCTGCCATACAAATATATGTGCAGTATATCTTTCTGCTATTGTTTAAATGGCCCATCATTTGTGAAAACCCTGTTTCAGACAATTCAGCTATTGTCTGAAACAAAGATAAAATTTTCCTTAACACATCCAACTTAATCACAGAAATTTTCCCCAACAATGATAATAGTACTTTGATTAATCTTACTGTATCTTTTTTTTACTTCTTTCCACATCTTAACATAATTATTTTGAAACAGTACATGGTTCATAATTGTGATACCCAAATATACCTTCTTCTCAATCTAAAAACCCATTTTATTCATCAATTATTAAGCTACCCAGGTTCACTTTGCAGGCAAGATGGGTGGCAAAAAATGTAATAAATAAATAAACAAAATTTAATTAATAAATAAAGATGTATCATCTTGTATTTTCATATTTTTGCTACCATCTTTGTCTTTTGTTTGTTAATCTTGAAACCTGCTAATGTATCAACTTCTTTTCATTTACCCATTATTCATTCAATTCTCTTTAAAGGATCTTCCAGAACCAACACCAAATCACCTACAAAATCTCTTAATTTATGTGTCGCTTTTTAAAATCTTTACACTCACAATCCTCAGGTCTTGCCTTAAGTTTCTTTTCAGCACTTCAAGATCTAAAATAAACAAGAGAGAGGCAGTTCATCCTCAAGCAGTTATATCTCAAACTTGAGAGTCTATTTGGTCCAGACATCTTTCCTGGTTTACCCTTTTTATATGGTTTCCAGAACTTTCCTTATTGTTATATGTCCCTTCATAATTTGCCTTTGTTATTCTGTAATCCTTGGTAAATTTTGTTTTCTAATATACTGTACTAATTGCTATTCTCAAATGAATTATTTATGTACTTATCTACATACTTATTTATTTATTTATACTTCACATTTCTAAACCACCCATCTTCCTCATCTCTGGGGGTGCCCAATATAATATAACCAATCAATAAAACAATGAATTAAAATTAAAAATTAAATTAGAGTTAACATTTTTAAAAATTATCGAATAATGACAAACATCAAAAGGGGGAAAACCCTAAGATGGTCATTTAACATCAGATCATAAAGGTGGGAGGGCCCTCACCAGCCAGCCCAGCGGTGTCCTGGTCTTCTGTGCCCTCCACACAAGGCCACAGAGCCAAATTTTAAGACCTTTGCAGAAGGCCATAAGACTGGGGGTTTTCTTCACCTCTGGAGGCAGGATGGCAGCAGCAGCAGCAGAGAAGTCTCTCTTCCTAGACCTATATTGTGTCTTTCATGCAAATTAGAATACTACTGCTATTTTTTTTTAATATAACCATGTTATCCATTAATATAGTAGCTCCCTTTTGTAATTTCAATATTGGTTCCTTTTCTCTTTCTTTTCACAATTTACTTTATAAGCCAACCCTTTCCCCAGAATTTGTTTGCAAATTCTTTTTTCTTTGCTAAGTTCAATTTTATTTCTAATTCTTTTATTGCTCACATAGGATCACTGTTGCTGAAAAATCTTAATTTATTGAGAGATGCTTGTATTCCATGGGGAGTGCTTTAATAATTCTTCTTTCCATTTTAATCCAAAATATTTTGTATTTACTCTTGCCTCTTCCTCTTAGATTCAGGATTATGTTGATCAGGTAACTTTTAATAAAGCTTTTACTTGCATCCCAAACCATTATTATATTCATGCCTTTATTTAAATTATTTTTTTTTTTAAAAAACAAACCTCTTAATTTGTTTTTGCAGTCTTCAACAATTGCTTCTTTCCATTGCTTCATTTAATCTCCATCTAAAACAGGGGTGTCAAATTCACATCATCATGGCAGCATCACGTGGCGTATCAGGACTTTTTCCCACTTTGCTAAACCAGGCATGGGTGTGGCCAGCACATGACGCATCTGGCCCACAGGCCGTGAGTTTGACAGCCCTGATCTAAAAGATCTAGATTTCCTTTCCCTCCCTAGATTTCCCTCACAATAATCTGAAAAAGTCTTTGGCAAAATCTCTGTTTTAAGAGATTAGTAAAGATACCAGATTAGGCTAGTTTCTTTGACTAGCTTACTTCAAATTTATGCCAAAGTACTTTTGTCAAGAATGAAAATAGTAAAAAGAAAAAAAAGAGGAAATTAACTGTTCCTCTATATCTGTTTTTAAACTTTCTTATATCTTGTTTTTGTTAAACTTTTTGCAAAAAAAAAATTTTTTTTTTATTTTTAAATCCTTAAAGGCTGTTATTTATTTGTGTAATCTGAAAAAGTTTGAGGGTTATCTCACGATCTCCCTTGATACAAGAAGATTTCAGTCCTCTAATCAGTATTCTTGGCCATGATGTCTCTCCATTCCTATGGAGATATCAATTTACCAGAATTCCCCACTGAAAGCCAGAGATGGTTGAATTCTGTTCTTGATCATATTTAATCATTCTTATTTTATTGACTTTTGTGCTCTTGTTGGAAATGTTGTTATGAAACTATTTATATGGTACACATGAATCACAGACTTGATAAGTGTGTGTCTCCAGCTGAATTTAATGATGAAGTCATTTATAAAGTGGCATTTCATCTACATGATTATTAAAAGGATCTGACTCTTTTTAAAAAAAATTGTGGGTAGGCTTCCTGGAAATTAGTTATCTGTATCTTTTAAATGTTAGCGTCTCATCTTGGCTATTTTGTCCTTTATGATTGTGTTTAACAAGCTAACGTGGCTATAATTTCTACTTAAAGTTAGATGCTGAGCATGCAGGATTACATTTTCAATTATTCATAATTATGACTGGAATTTTCCCTGAAATACAATGGCATTAATTAAATTTATACTCAGCTAGAGTTACTTGAATTCCCATTCGAACTGATTATTTCTGCTGCAGGAAATAATGCACAAAAATTAAAAATTAGCATTTGACAAATTACCTGTGGTTAATTTCCAGTTTAGTCTCTCCCCAACATATTCCTGTCAAAGCCAGTATCAAGATCAGAGCAAAGTCATATCCCACTCAATGCATTTATTTATTAGACCTTAGCCTAGAACAAAATGGTTAACTGACAGATAAAATAGAGAAAAGCAGGCAGAGAAAAGGATGAGGAATAAGCAACCATTATCTTTATACCTGTCTGTTTTAAAGGGCCACTGGAAAGAATATTGTAGGCAATTAGCAGAGACGTTTCCAAAGGAATGAACTTTGGGTTATTCCAGCCTTAACCTCTTTATGTATGCAGCAGGATGGAGATGGAAAGTAACAGTGATCTCTTCTCTATTCTGCATTGTGAGGGATGCATTTTGGGAATGAGATGATGTATCTAACATTTAGTGATAAAGTACTAGCAGCAGAAAGCAGTAAGTTGCTCCCTGCTTTTGACATGAGAACAGACTGTTTGAGGAGGGTTGGACCTTCATTGGTGGAAGCTAGATGACTATCTGCTAGGAAAGATACAACAATTGCTTTCTGTACTGGGTTGGACTACATGACCTCCAGGAGCCGTGGTGGTACAGTGGTTAGAATGCAGTATTGCAGGGTGGCTCTGTCCACTGCCAAGAGTTCAATCCTGAATGGCTCAAGGTTGACTCAGTCTTCCATCCTTCTGAGTTGGTAAAACGAGGATCCAGATTGTTGGGAGCAATATGCTAACTTTGTAAGCCGCTTAGAGAGGTCTGTAAGGCACTAAAAAGTGGTATATAAGTCTAAGTGGATGAATAGTTATTTCCAACCCTTACACTTTATGGTTTTATAATTTTATGCTATAAATAGGAATTTTGTAAATATACAAACCTCCTTGCCCCCGTGTTTTCACTGTGATAGCCGTAAATGTGAAATGTTTCACCATGTCAATGACAGTGATATGGATATTTTTTTAAAGGTAAAAAGAAAAATAAAGTCTTTATGGGTACATTTTTGTATGCCTAAAGCACTTATCCATTTTATATATAACAAAAAGGTTCAAAATGGGTAACATTTTGTTGAATAATAAAATAAACTGAGGGAACGTTACATTTGTTAATGCAATGAGAGTCTGAAACATGGAAAAGGGGTTGTTTTTGGGTTTTTTGAGACAAGAAAATAGAAATGAATTTTTCACTATAGTTCTCTGTATGAAATTGATCTCTTTTTTTCTACATATCTGATGATACAACAGACTTGTATTTGAGTTTTAGAGTTTTGAATCTACCCCTTTAACCTCCTGTGCGCTCAAAATCTGTCATTGTTAATCTGGAGATTACTATTAGTTACAAAACTGGTCAGTCTTCAGCCCTCGACAGGAGCAAAGATGCCCTGTGGCAGTGGGGTTTTAGTGGGATGATTGTCTGGGGAAGGATGCTAGGTCTGATGTTCAAAGCTCATCCTGAAATTA